GGGCGGGCGTGCGGGCATCCGTACGGACCTGCGGCTGAGGGGCGGTTCTTTAAATATTGACTGGCCGTCGTGTGGCCGTCGCCGTGTCGGGACGGGACGTGGCGCGGCCGGGTGGACGGGGAGGGTGTCGAACCCTGCATGCGCAGCCTGCCACGGCGGTCCCGTAGCAGGAGGCCCGGCTGGCGGGGCAGGGCGGGGTGTTGGCAGCACGCATTCCTCCCCGCAGTGTACACGGAAGGGGCAGCCCCGGTGACCCCGCCGCCGCCGCGGGTTTGCTCTCCTCATCCCGTCGTCGACGCCGTGTCGTCCCCGCGTACAATCCCGCCGACTGGGGTGGGGACCGGGTCAAAATTAGAAGTTTGAGAGCAGCAGCAGCGGGGCGGGGCGGGGGCCAGCCGCCTCGCGGGGGGGCGCGGCTATTCCTGTTGACGGAAAGGGGTCTGCGTGGCGGGGCGGCGCGGACCAGCAGGAATAAGGCTGTCCACCTGGTGCCGTCGCCAGGACACCTGTTGTCCTGCAAACTCTCTGCTCGCGGACATCCTTGGGCTCGAAATGCGCGAGGCGGGGCGGGGCGGGTGACGGGTGACTCAGCGCTCTGCGCGCGGGGCGTAGAATCGTTGGGGGGTGGGGTGGTCGACCCTTTACGCAACTCACGCATACCTTTATGCTAATGCCGCGGTCCTCTGCGGGGGCAAAGGCAAAGCAAGGGCTTTCCAGTCGGCCACGTCGCTCGACCTTACGTAAGAGCGAGGGGCTCCACCGAGCAGGAGGTGGGGGGCGGGTCGAACCCCTTTCCCCACCGCACGGCTCTACCTCGCCGGACTTGCCCGCACTTGCCGCCCGGGCGCGTCAACGGCAAAAAAAAAAGAAACAAAAAACAAAACCGTGGTTTATTTTCAGGAAAGGCGCGACTACACTGTAAATCCGCGGGGCGTCCAGCAATTGTGCAAGTTAAGGCGCTCGACCCTAAAACCTGTGCGACTTAAGTCGCACAGCTGCTGGACACCTTTTGGTTTGGCACGATTTTCCCTGCACAAGGATCCAGGCCAAGCCTAGATAGGTGTTGTTGGACACCTCCTGCTTGGGCCCCTCTGCAGGGAAAGGGCGCCAGACTACAAGGTGTCCAGCAGCTGTGCGACTCAAGTAGCACAGGTTTTAGGGGTCGGGCACCTTAAGTCGCACAGCTGCTGGACACCCCGGACTTACAGTGTACCTGTAAGTCTGATGCTCGAAACCGAGCATTTACCGACTGAACTGATGTCCATATCGTCTCTGTCCCACAGGAGGCGTTCTTCCAGTGGCTGTGCGGCGTGCAGGAGGTGGGGTGCTTCGTGGCGCTCCGGGTGAGCGACGGCCGCTGCGTCGTGTTCGTGCCGCGGCTCCCCGCCGAGTACGCCGTGTGGATGGGCAAACTGCGCACCCTGGAGGAGTTCAAGAGCAAGTACGCCGTCGAGGAGACCGCCTTCGTGGACGAGGTAAGTGGTGGTGGTGTGGGTGCAAGCGAGAAAGGCGGCCGACGGTCGCGAGCAGCGTAGACGACGCCGGCGGCGGTGGCTCGACCATTTCGCCCCGGTGCCCCCCATTATGCTAAAACGGAAGTGACCCTTCCCCCTTTGGGCGGAGGTGTAACCTTTGACCTCTGGACTTGACTGCCGGCCGAAGCACTCGGAGGCACGGACCCTGCTCCTTCTCCTTTCCCCTGCGGGCACTCCTGCATGGAATAACGATGAAGAACCCCTTTCCTCGGGCTGGCTAGGGGAGGGGGTGGGGGTGTAGGAGGGCTGTAACAGCACGCGAAGAAAGTGTTGCTGTGGGCCCGGCTACATGGTACGGCCTTGAACAAATCACAGAAAGGGAAGTAGGGGGGCGAGGGGGCGTGGGGAGGGTTCTATTTGAGTGCCCTCGACCTTGCCGGCCTCGCCCCGCTCCGCCCCGCCAAGCCTGGGACCAATAGCCGCACACCCCTACATCACACCCCCGCCCCGGCCCCGCAGCCGCAGAGAGCGCAAGTGTAGTGTGAAGATAGATACGCTGAGGCGATCACCCCCCCCCCCCTCCTCCTCCTTTCCCTCGATCAGCAACTGGTGTGTACAAAAGCGTAAATCTGGCCTGACAGGGGGATTGATTGAGCCCGTCCCGTGTGGCTGCGCATGGCCGAAGCCGCGTGAGTCGCCGGCGGCTGGGGAGGGGGAGGGGGGCCCATGATGTTGCTGGCGCTTACTAAGTCGCGCCGATGTTGTATAGTGAGCGAACAGAGGTCACCCTGGCTTCTCTTTGGTCCTGATGGTGCGCAAGCCTCACTGACGTGTCTCCAGGCGGGCGCCGGCCCATAAGTTTAACGAGCCGGTTACATCGCGACGCGCGTCATGTTCAGCATCGTTGTGGATTTTCAAACCTTATTTTGCTTACAAATTAAATACCGCTACTACTATAGTGGTGCAAATTGTCCTTAATAACAAAGAAAATTCGCCAGGTGAAAATGTTTGCGTACAAAAACGGCCTACCTTTCGACACCTTTCTAGGGACAGAAAATATATCAAATTAACGCGAACCCTGGCGACTGGTGACGTTTTAACTTTACTGACAAAATTTTAACTTTACAACAGTACAAGCTGCTGATACTAACGAGACCATACAGCTACAAAAGATCCAACATGGTTTCCTTGCCATTTCTCTGGCGTATGCATTTCGCCGGTCCTGCTCTATGCACGTGCTATCTGTTCGTCAGTCTGTGCCACGCGGAAGCAGCGGCGGCTGTTCGCCCGCGTCCTGTTCTGCTCGCCCTTCTGCTGCTGTTGCGCGGGTATATGTGCACGCCAAAGCCTCGCGGCGTTTGTTTATGCACGCATGGGCTCCAAACAGTGTCTGAACGCTTTTCGGACCAGCAGGCTCCTGGGATCAAGGACGGCGCCCACGGCCTCGACGGGACCAAATTAAATTTTAATTTCTTCCTAAAGGGTTTTTTGCAAAAAAAAAAAAAAATCAAGATACTTTCGGTTTAATCTTTTAACTTTTCGCTAAAAAGTTATTTTTATCAATCGTTCCTATGGAAAATTTCGTATGAAAGCGTAAATTTGTACGTGTTGAACAGTGTCAAATAGTCGTCAAATTAACGAAAAGTAGGCATCGTTAAGCCTGCCTGTTATATTGTCACAAAATTAACCATTAATTTGTGAGAAAGACATTTTATTCTGTTCTGAAAAAAAAATGTGACAAAAAATACATCTTGAATTTATTTAGTGCCGCAGAGTGTTTGGCGTAGTATACAGGTTTCTTACCCCGACGCGCCACAGCCGCGCTTGCCCCGCGAAATATGAAACAGAAAGAACCCGCGCGTTGTTTGCGAAAAAAGATCCGCGTGCAGAAAGAGTTTGTGTGTGCTGTATGGCGGAAGGCCGCGCGGCATAGACGTCTAGTCTGCACGCGCTTCGAAAAGAAGTGAGCAAGCCAAACTCTCTGCCAAAAAAAAAAAAAAAAAAATACTGTCTGGGAAAGAGAGGAAAAAAATGTTTAAATGAGATAGATTGAGAGGGGGTATGGGGGTACGGTGGGAGGGCATGTGGGACGAAAAAGAAACAGCCCGCAGAAGCGCGTGTGCGACCACCCTTCACCCTTCTGTACCGCCAGTCTGGGCGGACGCGCCGTAAGTCAGCCCCGTGCTCGTTTGCCACGCGCCTGTCGACCACGCTCTTATTTTTTTTATTATTTTATTTTATCTCATCGTGCGTCCCTTTTTATCCCCTAGGCCCCATGCGCGCCGCGCCCCGCCACGCCACGCCACCAAGCCCTGAGCCATGTGCCACTAAGTCGCAAAATGCCGTACACTCTTTGCAAATTCGCTTGCTTGTTGCGCCGCGGTTCGGTTTGCAGTCGTGACTCAACAAGGCGCACACTACTGCGGTGCGGTCGGCGGCGATACCGAGAGAAGAGAAGTGCGCGTCATTTTCGCAAGTGGAATTATTTCGGCGACGCGACAGCTGCGCCCATACTGGGCGGCGACATTGGGGGACTTTATCGGCATCCTGGGCGTCCTGTAATACAAGGGGGGGCTGCTTATCTGCCGTGTCCTGTACCGCGCGGGCGCGATCGGGCGGCGCGTCACCCGGGCCTCGTGGCCATGCCGTACCGCGCCCCGCCACGCCCCGCCACGCCCCGCCACGCCCCGCCACGCTCCGCCACGCCACGCCACGCCCCGCCACGCTCCGCCACGCCACGCCCAGAGCACACGGGTGCCGCATGGCCGTGTTTAGCGTCAATGTTTACACCCCTCTAATTGGAACGAGGCGAAAGCGAGGGAAGAGGGGGG